TGACCATCCGTTGGGCTTCCAGTGCTGTAGAGGAGATTGACCTTATTTTACCTATAGAGCAACTGCTGGTGGATTCAAACTGCCAGTGAGGTGTAACCTTTGGTTAGGGGGGATGGCATGGGGACCCCCCAAAAAAGACTATCCCACAGAGTTCATCCTTCCCCTCAGGGTACACAAGAGAAGGAAGCATACTTAGCATTGGGCCTGCTAGTTCTGCAGATTTGGCCTGAAACTGATAATTAGGTTAGCCAACTCACAATTGCTCTATTATAGGTGTGTTAAAGGGAAGAAATGTTCTTTAGCTGCTGAATTCCAGAGCAAGGACTCCTTGCCAGCACTGTAACTTTGTAACCTGAACGGAAATAGTTCTCAGGCTGTCTATCCCCAAATGAAGAAGGAAACCTTGGTAACAGTTAATTTACCTTCTGGCTCTTTGACCTTCAGAATTGCTGCAGGATACATACCTACCTAAGCAACTCCTGCCGGGCTTGACAGGGGACAGACCCTTTTTGCTCCCTCTCAGATCACTTAGGGACCTCTGGTGGTGTAGTGGTTAGGGAGTTGTACTGTTAAGCCAGCAGTGGCTTCTCTCTGGCAGTTCAAATTCACCAGTGGTTCCATAGGAGAAAGATGGACAGTGTCCCTCTGTGCGATTCACATCCTCTGGAAATCCACTAGGGGTAAGTCTGAGTCTCAGATCACATAGGGTGCTGTAGTGTCGTAGTCTGTGGGAAGTTGTGCTGCTCGCCCACAGTCCTCACCTGTTTGAGTCCATTACTGGCCCCTCAGGACAAAGTGCAATCACTCTCTTCCCATGTGAGCTACAGCTTGTAAGCCTGCTGGAGGGTCGGCTGTAAGTCAGTTTTGGCCAAACAGCAGTGATGTGACAGATCCCTGAAGATTATCCAAAAATGACTGGAACAGTACATCAACAGAGAATTGCCAGAAGTCCAGGCTGGGTTTAGAAGGGGTCGTGGTACTAGGGATATTGTAGCTAATGGTAGATGGATCTTAGCTGAAAGCAGGGAATACCAGAGGAATGTCTATCTGTGTTTTATTGACTATGCAAAGGCATTTGACTGTGTGGATCATAACAAACTGTGGCTGAGTCTGGATCATAACAAACTGTGGCTGACTCTGAGAAGAATGAGAATCCCAGAACACTTTATCGTGCTAATGAGAAACCTATGCTTGGACCAAGAGGCAGTCATTAGAACAGAGCAGGGAAACACTGCATGGTTCAGAATTGGGAAGGGTGTACGCCAGGGATGTGTCCTGTCTCCATACCTTTTCAACCTGTATGCAGAACAGATTATCCAGGAGGCTGGGCTTTATGAGGAGAAATGTGGGGTCAAGATCAGTAGAAGACCTATCAACAATCTGCGTTATGCAGATGATACAGCCGTGCTTGCTGAAACTGAGGAGGACCTGAAGCGGTTGCTGCAGAGGGTCAAGGACTGCAGCCTCCAATATGGATTGAGGCTCAATGTCAAGAAGACAAAGATTTTCACCACTGGGCATTGGCAGCATCAGGATGGATGGTGAAGAGATTGAGATTGAGATTGTTCACAGCTTCAATTTACTTGGCTCCACAGTCAACGCTCTCGGCACCAGCAGCCAGGAAATTAGAAGACGTACTGCCATAGGAAAGTCTGCTGTTAGGGACCTCTCTAAAGTACTGAAGAGAAATGGTGTCTCTTTGGAAGCTGAGGTGCATCTGATACAGGCCATGGTCTTTGCTATCACTTGTTATGCTTCAGAGAGTTGGACAGTGACCAAGGAGTATAGAAGAATTGATGCCTTTGAGCTGTGGTGCTGAGAAGAGTATTGAGGGTACCACTGCTAGGTACTGCTAGGAAAACAAACAGATTCATCCTGGAAAGGGTCAAACCGGGCTGCTCCTTGGCAGCAAGGATTCTGAGGCTCCGTCTAACATACTCTGGACATGTTGCAAGGAGAGACAGGTCCTTGGAGAGGAACGTCATGCTTTTTAGGGTGGAGGGACAGCGCAGAAGGGGAAGACCCTCTATGAGGTTGATTGATTCAGTGACTGGGGTAGTCGGGATGGGTGTATCAGAGATGGTGTGATTGGCACAGGACAGAGCAGAGTTTAGGGCTGTTGTATATAGGATCACTGTGAGTCGCAAGCGACTCGATGGCACATAACAACAACAAGAAGTGGCTTAGTGGTATGGAGTTGTGCTGCCAACCCCAAGATGGACAGTCTCCCCTCCTGCTGCTTACACCCTCTGAAGACCGGCTGGAGGGTCAGCTTCATGTCGGTTCTGACTCAGTGACACATACCAGCAAGGTAGTTTTTGAAGGATGCCTTTAGAGAGATGTAAAGTATGATCGCCCAGGGAAGAGGATCCCGATAATTCCCTGGAGGACCTGAATGGTCTCAGGCACCATTCTGAATTTGTGCATTGCCCTCCGTTGGGAATAAACTCCCTCCCTGCTGCCTGCACCTCTCACACATAGTACAACTTCTTCTTGCACAACAAGGAAGCTAAGGGACTCCAAAGCTTGAGGAAGAAGAGGTTTGAACGGTCTGAATAGTTTTGTAGCTGGCTTCTGAAGGCCATTCTCTGGTCCACGGAAGCACACCCAGCCTTGCCGTTTACCTGTAACCTGTGCCATCGTGTGTTGTGGCCATTGTAGTTTCCAGCTCCTGATTGAGCCCACGTGTTCAGAGTAGAACTGATGTGTAGGTTTTTCAAAGCTGTGATCTTTTGCTAGCGGCTCCCCAAGGCTGACTTCCCAGGCGTCTCTGGATGGATTTGAACTGGCAGCCTTTTGGTTAGTGGTCAAGCATTTAACCATTTGCACCACCCCAGGGACTCTGACTTTGAGGTGTAGTTTTTCTAATGGTCTAATGGGAGTCGGGAGAAGACAGTGACACAGCTGTACAGATGTTTCCTTTGTTTAGGGGTCTAACACCCCAAGGTTTCCCCTCCTTTGTTCTCTTCCTTCTTCTCTTTTCCTCCATTTACTGCTCAGTGAAAGGTGTGCAGCTTAATGTGAAGGAACAGAGTGTAAATGAAGCTTTGTATGTAAATGAGACTCTTTCATACAAACAAGCAACAACTTCTATGTTGTTGTGTACCATAGAGTTGGAACTGACCCATAGCTGACCCTCTGGTGGGTTTTCAGAGCCAGTTAACTGCACAGGAGATTTCCTGTTCTCCCTCTGAGCTGCTGGTGGCCTTGAACCGTGTGCCATTGGGATAGCAGTGCAGCATCTTGCCACTAGGCCACCAGAATTCCACAACCTCTATAGGAAGGAGAAAATCATACAGGAGAATAATCAGTTGCTTATTTACTCAGCATGTTTATTGACCACTTAGGCTGTACCAGGCATGGTGGAAGGTAGACCAGGGTGAAGAGGACACACTTGGTCTCTTCCTGGCAGGGAGGGAGAACGAGCTGAAAAATCATCACCAAAACATTGAGTTGTTCCGAAGTATAAAGTAAGCAAGCACACAAAAGCAGAGGCAAGAAAGAACAGAGGCTCAGGAACCCTAATCTGGAAGGGCTTCTTGGGAGAACTGAGTGGAGCAAAAGTGCTAAAAGATTGGCTGTCTTCTGGTTCAGAATGGGATGAGCTACAGAGATTTATACACATTTTCCAAACTGTATTTGTGTTGTGTCCTGCCAGAAATTTAGGAGTGATTTCATCTTTGAAATGAGGGAGAAAATGAAAAACAGAACATCTCAGCTCAGCTGTTCCATTTGTACTGTTCGTCGGCTCCATGTCTTGGTTCTGAACTGGCAGATGGTGACAGCAGTTGGACCTCTAGATTGAAGCTCTCTGTGTTTGAAGTGGTCTCTCTGCCTCTGGTGGTCTCTCTGTTAATGGCTCTAAGGACTTTTTTCCACCCCATAGGGTTGCCATCCTGATCAGGTCCTGAGGGTGGGGGAGAGGAAGGATGATGGAAAGACAGAGGGTGGGGTTTGAGGGAGGCTTGTGGAACTCATTGATTAGCTGGCCCTGCCACAGCCATGATCATGAGGGAGGTGGAGCTGACCTTTGTCTAGTCCTCGAGGGCAAACCTCAAACTTCACACCGTGCTGAGGAGCCCTTTTTGTTGTTGTGTGGCATCGAATTGGAACTAAGGTGTAGCTGACCCTCCAGCTGGGTTTTAGAGGCAGGAAATCTCACAGAAGGAGCTGGTGTGCCTTTGGGATTGCAGCACCGCTTCTTACCATCAGGCCACCAGAGCTCCCTTATAAGCCGCCTGTGGTTCCGCCAAGGAGTTGAAGCCCAGAAGTGTGAGCTGCCCCATCCGAGCTTGGCTGACCAGCTTGCTGGAGCAGGTCAGGGACCCAGGATAGCAGCCAGCCAGCTGTCTGTGCTTAGGTTTCAGAATCCTGTGCTGGATACGTAGTGCCTTCCCACTTGATTGAAGGTAGAATTGGCAAGTTTTCTGTGGTTTGTGTGCTTTGAAAGAGTAGAGGAGTATTTCTTCTTGTGAGTGTGTTATGTTTAGTGTTAGTTTTGAGCTTCTCTGAGCAGTTTGGCGCCTCCTGATCCTGGTGGCCAGTCTAGGAGGCCTATGACAGTGTATTGAGCAGTAGGGCCTACAGACCAAGCACCTGGCCTGGGGTCCTCAGCTGTTTTCTAACTAGATGGGGTGAGCTTGGGCAAGTCATCGATTCCCCCCCCTCTTCCCGGATATAATTGTCTTTGTTTCACCCAGCTCCACCAACACCTAGGGAGCGCTGGTGGCCTAGTGGGTAAGGAGTTGGACTGTCAACTTGAAGTCAAGCAGTTCAAACCCACTAGCTGCTGCAGGGGAGAAAAATGAGCAGACCATTCCCACTCCCATTCCCATGCCCATCCCCACTGGACCATAGACTTGACAGTATGTAACCAACAGCAGCAGCAACAGTGGGTTTTATGATTTCATCTGCCTCTTTGGCAGAGTTCCTCTGTAGCAGTGATTGGTGGGTACATGGAAACGGCTAATCAGGTGTTTTTCTTTTCTTCTCCCCTCTAGGGAGGGAACAGTTCCATGGACTGGGCTCCATGTACTGCCGAGGCGCTGCTGCGGTCATCCTCACCTATGATGTCAACCACCTGCAGAGTCTCGTAGAGCTAGAGGACCGGTTCCTGGGCCTCACAGACACAGCCAGCACCGACTGCCTGTTTGCCATTGTGGGAAACAAAGTGGACCTCACTGAGGAGGGGGCTGCAGAGGACCAAGGAGGGGAGGAGGGCGGCTCTGGGGAGGCTGCCAGCAGCTGTGTCTCCTGCAAGGGCCCCAGGCAGGTCAGGCTGGAGGATGCAGTGGCCCTTTATAAAAAGATCCTCAAGTACAAAATGCTGGATGAGAAGGACGTGCCAGCCGCTGAAAAGATGTGCTTCGAGACCAGCGCCAAAACCGGTTACAACGTGGATCACCTCTTTGAAACTTTGTTTGAAATGGTTGTGCCAGTCATTTTACGACAGAGAGCCGAGGGTCCTCCCCAGACTGTGGACATAAGCAATTATAAGCCGCCAAAACAGACAAAGTCTGGTTGCTGTGCTTGACTTCCGGGGATGTTCCTGATTTCCAGTTTGCACACTGGTCACCTAGAGGGTTGTGCAATGTTTGAAGGAAGCCTAGAAAAACAAAGATGTTATGAAACAGTATTTGGAGCAAAAGATCCGAATGGAAATACCAGCTATTCAGTAAGTGAAGATTAATATACCAGGAGCTCCTCAGTCTACACCTGGTGTGTCAGGAGATAAATAATCATCCGTGAAATCCAGTCTGCAGAAGAAGATACTTGACCTTCTCTCCCACCCTGCTGTTCTGAGATGGAATTGGCTGTCCTTTGGTTTCCTGGACCTGAAGTCTCTTTTTTATTTTTTTGCACAGATGGAAGCTTTGCTGCGTGCATTTGACCCAACAAGGCACCCTCAGTTGTTACCACATTAATCAGCCTTTCTCTGTGGTGGTGTTCTCAGTCATTTCTCTTCACTCTGATTTCTCTTTTTTTTTTGTCCTACCATTTGGTACTTGTACATTTACACATTATAGTGGTGATTCTCTCCATGTTAATTTATACACAATCAGAAATAACTTTTTATATTGGTTGCAGCAGCTTGAGCTACACACATTATTAAAAGAAATTTTTGGGAAAATGTTGGTATTGGCATTTTATTTCTTTAGTCTTTATTTGTATATTTGTAGCTCCAGTGGGCTCTTCGTTGGACAGAGCTTGGGAAATGGCATTGAGCATGATACGCCTTTCTCCCTGTCTTCATAGTTGCATAAAATCCTTACAAATTCCACAATATTTAAATTGGTCTATCTGCTCAGGATAAGGGAAAGTTCAGGTCTATTGTGTATAGGGTCCCTATGAATGTCAGGCAACTTGATGGCATATAACAATAACAACAACATCTGCTTAATTGTCCTTATGCCTTGAATTCTATCAGTAAACCAAGTAGTAGTAAACCAAGACTCACTGCCATCCAGTTCCTGGTGACTCCGTGACCTTCATCAGGTTTCCAAGGCTAGATCCTTATGGGAGGAGGTCGCCCATCTTTCACTCAGTAATCAGCTGGTGGATTTGGACTGCTGGCCTTTCTGTTAAGTGTCAACACGTAATACATTCTACCACTAAAACTCTGTTAGTAGCAGACCTTTTGCTAAAATCTGGTTACTTGGGATACAGAATCAGAAATTTCCTTCTCAGTCCTGTGGTGGAAAGGACGTGGGCTGTTTTGCTGTTACGGTTGTTATGTGCCGTTGAGTTGACTGCTACTTACAGTGACATTATGAACAGTAGTTCTGAACCTTGCCCTATCCTGGGTCAATCCCAGTCTTTGATACATTTGCCTCCATTGCCCAGGCACTGTGTCAATCCATCTCATGGGGTTTTGACCCTCTACCTGTCCAGGCTTGGTGTCCTCCTCCAGAGACTGGTCCCTCTTGGCAACATGCCTAAAGTATATGAGATAGAATTTAAAAATCCTTACCTTCAAGGAGCAGCCTGGTCTCCAGGACAGACCTGTTTGCTCTCTTGACAGTCTATGGTTCAGTATTCCTCAAGCACCACAACTCAAAGGCATTGATTCTTCTTCTGTCATCCTTAGTCACTGTCCAAATCTCGGATGCATAGCAAGCAGTTGAGAAGATCATGGCCTGGAATAGGCACACCTTAGTCTCTAGACTGACATCATTGCTCTTCAGCACTGTGGAGAGATCCCTGACAGCAGATTTTTCTAATGAAGTTCACCTTTTGATTTCTTGACTGCTGGTACCAAGAATATTGCTTGTGGATCTGAGCAAAGTGAAATTGCTAACAACTTCAGTCCTTCTCCATCTATCATGATGCTGCTAGTTGGTCTGGTGAGAATTTTTCTTTTCTTGATGTTGAACTTCCATCCATATTGACGTCTACAGTCCTGGATCTTTTGCTGTTATAAGATACCAAAGAAGAGAAGCTGTAACACAACTGGTTTTGATTAGATAGAAATGTAAAGGGAAGTAAGTAGGCCCATTGGGCTTGCTGCTGGGAAGGAATGGCAAAGTTAGGCAAAAGGTTAGTGGGCAGAAGATTTCTCGAGTTTTATTTGGAGGTTAGTGGGGTCGCTGGAGAGGAGCCCTGGAGGCTCAGCGGTTAAGTACGCAGCTGTTAACTGAATGGTCAGCAGTTTGAACCTCCTATTCCACAGGAGAACACCATGGAGGTCTGTGTCAGCAAAGATTGCACGCTTATAATCTTTATGGATCAGTTCAGCTCTCTAGAGGGTTCCTCTCTTGGAATTGGCTTGATGGCAATGCATTTTTCGGGTCTCTGACTTGAAACTAACTTGATGGCAACATGTTTGGCTTTGGTTTTTAATACATCCTTGGAATCCCCGCCATCTCCAGTTGCTTGGCCACCAAAGGCCTAACTCTTCTGTTTCTATGAAGTGAGGATTTTTCACTTCCATAATTGACAGCACCGTCTATACGATGAACTCTGGCACAGGCTGCTGGTTGTGATGAGAGCTTGTCACTGAACACACTGTGTGACTAAAGCCGGATCTTGAGATCTAAAATCCAATTTTGTAGCAGTAGCCCATTGAATAATGAACATGGAACAGTTTGATGGTTTATTTTCATTGATTTAAATTAATTTACCACAGTAGAATGACTTCTGTTTCTTTTCCCAAAAGCGTATCTTTGTTAGTGATGTGTCTAGGAAACATACTTCTGCCAACGACCTAGGAGACTTTCTTTAAAGGTGATGAAGGAGGAAAAAAACCCAGCTATCACAGTAAATTCCTTTTTGTGACTCATGCACAAAGGCAGGGATGGCCTAAAATTCTCAAGATCTTTTCCTTTCCTAAAAACCCAGTGCTTCTCCTTACTGTCTGCATAGAGTACCTGACAGCTCAATTCTTAGAATGCTGTATGTTCCAAGAGATTGATACCTATAGATCCTACATTCTCAGCACTACTTAGATACCTTTACCCTTTATTTCTTACTCTAAAAATATACCTCATTGCTGGTTTCTTTAATAACTGTTCCTCAGAGCCTCATTAACTCTTGGCCAGGGCAGTCAACATCACAGACTGTCTCCTATGCTAGCAACTTGTAACTGCTCTGATCTTCTGTCTGCTGGGGTTACATCCACTGGTGCTGTGCCATTACAAAAGTGAAAATGATGGTTTGCGACACAGGCCTTTTGCAACCTCCATGTTCTGGCTGTGTCTCCAAGGTAGATTTTAGGCAGCAGCTTGAACTTGCAAAGAAACCACTTTCTTTGGTCAGAGCCTCATGATCTTGATGTGATGTGACCTCTGGTTCCTGACCTTTTCCGTTTTAGAGAAGTTTTACAGTTTTCAGTTGGGTGAAAATAATGGTCAGATATAGTGCACATTTCCCTTGTCTGTGTGAATTTGTTGTTAGATGCCATCAAGTCAAGTACACTCACAGTGACTCTATGAACAACAGATCTGAATCCTATCCTGTACCATCAACAGCGTATCTGCCCCATGTAAGTGTTGATGTTGTCATTGTGTCAGTTCATCTCATTGAGAGTCTTCCTCTCTTCAGCTGACCCTCCACCTTGCCCAGCCTGATGTCCTTTTCCGAGGAACAGCCCCTTCTAACAACATTCCTGAAGTATGAGAGATGGAACTTTGCATCCCTGGCTCTAAGGAGCCCTCTGGCTGCACTTTTCCCAAAGCTTGCCTGTTTGCTCTTTTGGCAGTCCATAGCAGATCCAGTGCCTTACACTACAACTCATAGGCGTCAATTCTGTCCTTATTCAGCTCTCAGAAGCATAGCAAGTGGTTGAAAAGACCATAGCCTGAATCAGGTGCACCTCAGTCTTAGTCCTCCAACCGATTTCATTGCGTGTCTGTAATTTGGAGAAATCTCTGACTGCAGACTTAGCCAGTGCAATACATTTCCTGTGAATCTGAGTTATCAGTAAGAACTCACTGATTATGACTCATAGTGATTCTGCAGGACAGGTTGTAAATTCCTCATAAGGTTTCCAAGAATGTAATCTTTATGGATGCATCTACCAGATCTCTTTCCTGCTGAGTGGCCGGGGGAGGGGTGAGTGGGTTCAAATTACTGATCTTTTGGTTTGCAACACTCCACTATGATACCATCAGAGCTCCTGTTTCTTTTTCTCCAAATACAAGGATCTTAAAACAAGATACATCTCGAGTACAATGGCTGTAAGTGATTTTAAGTTTGTATTAGTGTCTTGGTGCTACGATAGCAGAAATATCACAGGTTGGTGGCTTTTTTAAAAAAATTAATTTTAATGAATGTTTACAGAGATTTTGGATTTCCATATATTCATTGTTGCATTTTTCTCCCTGTCCACTCCTCCTTCCAGTTTGCACTTCTCTTCAAAAAGTAAAATAAAAATTATTTCATTGGTATAGAATCCACCACCCTACCCCACCCCACCCCCGCCCCGAGTACACTCCACTATGCAACCTTCATTCTGGACTCTTGTCATAAGCATAATACCCAATCAGATAACGCTTTCATGAGCAGAAATTTATTTTCTCATGCTTAGGGGCTGACAAGTCCACATTCTGGTCACCAGCTCTAGAAGAAGACTTGATCTAACTAACTATAGTGGAGGGAAACCTTGTTGTCTTTGGGCCTCTTCTCTGCTGCTTCGGTGATCTCCAGGTGGCATCAGCATTTATTGCCCATCCATTTTTCTGTGCCTGCTCTACTCAGCTGAATCTCAAAGCAATTGTTTTAAGACACAGAGTACAGTCATTTGACCTCATTAACACAACAGATACATCCCTATTCCAAGTTGGGGTTATATTCACCAATGTCAGGGTAAGGGTTTATAATACATCATTTTGGAGGCACACAATTTAAATCCATAATAGAGCCTAAAGAGGCAAAATTTCTCCACTTGTGCTCCCACGCGTTATTGTGTGTGCTCCTGTGTTGATGTCAATGTAGAAACCCTGTAGGACAGAGAACTGTGCCTTAAGATTTCCTAGGCTGTCCTTGTCATGAGAGCCTATTACTAGGTCTTTGTCCCTTGGAGCACCTAGTAGATTT